TTAGGGTAAAAGCGTATCTTTTGTTTACTCCGATCCATATAATCGACCCCATACTCCGATCGTATAATGCGTGGGATATTTAGCAGAATCAATGGGGTGGTAGATCACGTATCATTATACTCCCCTCAGCATTCGATCTATCTTTGAAGTATGTATACATTTGTACAATAAGCAATGATGAAACAATGGCGGTGAGACGCAAAATTCGGACGGTAATTCATGACTTAAGTCGGAATTAGCAGCTCAATGTCGAATGTAATATTCATAATCATGTAGCGCGACGTGAAAACACAAGCCATCATGGTTAGCTTTATCGAAAGTAATAGCTTAAAGTCTTTGGGTTATTCTACAAAAAGATAACCTGGACGGATTTCAACAAAATTCTTGATACCAGTTATTGTGTAAGGCGTAAGTTGGTAATGAAGCCAACAGTCGTCATAAATTCGCGGTGGGGTCATCGCTTTATACAAAAGATGACCGGAAGTTAAAACATCGTCCAATATTGACGCAAAACCCCATTAGGCCAAAGAGCTGCATGTCGACAGGAACATTGTTGTTGTTGTTGCGTTTGAGCTAAACGGTTTGCAGAATACATTGTCTAGCAACATTGAGGTTCGAACTGCTTAGACGATCCAAAGTATTTTCGGCTGTTCGCTAAGAGCCAAGCGATACAAGAATAAATATCGGACCTACGGAAGGTATCCTTGGAAATTTGATACAACGGAGGGCGCCACAATCGCCTGTCCACGAATCGACACCAAAGTAAATGGTGTGATTTTTCGAAGTAGCACATCCATAGACATAGCGTACTTCTGCGACGTGTCAAGGGCAGCTGTATTTAAATTCAAGTCCAGTATGTTGGATTTGTTAAAAGTAGGAGTTTAGTAAAGTAAACGACTTGTATATTACCGCGCACCAAACGCGTTTCGGCCCCCCGCCGGGGGCCTCATCAGTTGTCTGTCAATCTACAAGTGAGAACTATCCATACATCTAGCTGCTATACGACCTAATATAATACATAGAACCCTAACGAAAATTCTACACATACCCTATCATGGGTCGAGTCTCTGGAGTCGAAAACAGTGCATCATGCACTTCCAACAGGATTTTAATAGGAGAAATATTAAAAGATTAGTAGAAAATCGCGCTGTAGAAGATACTCGAACGTCCAGTTAGAACGCTCAATACCCACATTTTGAACCGAAAGTTGAATAAATGGTAGTGTAGACATTTCCTGAACAAGCAGTAGACACTTAAGAACACTGTTGTAATCGTAAATTATGCATGGAAAGGTAAAGTCCAATCCGGAAGCGCGCTGACCGTCCCCCCGTTAGCCAGTGGTAAATCGCAAATTGATGATAGTGGAATGGCACGGCAATCCATGAAGCAATGTTACGAACCACCATAGTTAAAAGAGATACTCGACACTAGAAGTGAATAACTACCGTAGAGACTTATCATCAAGGATCCAGCCTGCAACGGAGAAAAGAGTATTTTTGTAAAACACCTGGATGACTATGAAAGTTGCAAACACTGTTATAAATCACTGTGATTGTACGCTTATCTTCCGTAAACCTAAGCAACACATCATTCGAAGGAGGCCACATAGGCTTGCTCAGATTGTCTTGAGCTTGTTGATGACTTCAGAGCTTTGGGTTGCAATAGCCGATTTAGAGTACCCAGTAACGGCTATCCAGCAAAGATGAGCCAGCAAGGAAAGCAGTATAAAGGAAAATTCAAGCCTGAGCATTGACCCGAAAGCCTCATCAGTCGTTCCTTGGGCAAGAATAATCATTTAGCGAGTAGGAGTCACGTCGGATGTGATGTAAATATTGTTTTTCAGGATAGCATTGACTTGGTGGAGCTTAAGCAAAGTCATGGAGGGTAAGTCGAGTCCTTTGGTCGAAGCGTTCATGAACCCCACTTGTTTGAAGATTGCCCGCTTGTAGCTGAATCGCGCATGGTATCACAAGAGGAGCAATTACCGAAGATTTGCGTGAGCGGGTTGAAATGGAGTAGAAATTTACGGACACGTATAACGCTTCTAAAAATACCGTTGTGTGGACAAAACTATGGTGAGTACTCTCCCTCAGAGAGTACACCCACGCCTTTGCCACAAGCACGAACGATTATTGATCGGACCAGGAGTTGATTGGATTGGAGTTGCGGGATGCACCTGGCCCAACATAATGCCCAACAGGTTTCCATGCTCTTCATTACTTGAGGTTCGAACGCCAAAAACCGACTGATCATCTCGAAGCGCCAGTTCAGTAAAAGTCCGTGGTCGAAATAGGAAGGTGACCATCTAATCCACGTTTAGCCACTTACCAGTGACGATTCAAAAGTCGTGGAGTTGATTTAGAGATATGGGATCGTGGGGAATAATACGAGCAGGATATGCTCTCCGCTCGATGATTGAAATCTCCTTCACTGCACACAATTTTGCTGAAAAGATCTCTGTACTGACTGTTTAAGATGAACAAGGGCGAAATTGATGCATTGCTGCATTCTTTTTTTACGATCGTTCAGGAGCGCCATTGACTGCTCTAGTCGGAAGGATTGATTAATTGATTACGTCTGCCCAGCATTAATTAGATAACGCTTCCCATTGACATTTTTCCACAGGTATGCACACACCTTGTTGCAATTATACTGTTCGGACATGTAACGGGGCACCCTGAAGCTTGTACTGGTGACAGTACAAGCTACTTATTCTGATGACAGAATAAGGCGGTGCCTCGTAACTTCACGTACACTGGTACGTGCAGAGGAAGACGGTAAGAAGAAGCGAGTACTTGGTTAGAGTAAAAAGAAGAACTGTATTCAGTATAGTTAATGTCTGCAATAAATCACTATTTATCCTCATCTAACTATGTCTGAATACAAATGTGTAAATCAAATATCTGCTCACCACTCATTGCGTGCGTCTGTCGTGGCGCGTCTTCGTTGGTTGATATAATGGCCTATATCAACCAATTAGGAACAACTCGTAAGTGCTACAGAATATTTGTCCTTATGACAATATTCCGAGAATATAACTCTTATAGTTCTATTCTATTAACAATTTCTTATAAATTGTTATGTAACGATTCACCCCGTTACATCACCCCCCCTTAACCATCAGTCACTTTAGTGACTGATTGACTAAATGGATACTCGTCCCAAATCATTTGGGACAGGGTTTGCACTTGTTGGTCCGAGTCCACTTTCCAACATTTCATCGCATGGTTAACAAGCCCATGCGATGCGCGAGCAAGGCCGCCGAGAGCGCGTCCGCACGTCTCTGTGCGGACGCCGAAGCAGAAACCACAGCAACTGATGTCTCATCGGTTGCTGAAGCGACCCAGCCTGTGTCACTTGGTGATGCAGGCGCTGGTCATGAAGACACTCATGTCTTCACAGAGTACGAGCTCGGTGTCTCGTACTCTCCTGATACGGATGACGGAACCGTATCGACGGCGATTGAATCTAAGCCGCCTGCCAAGCGTGGCATGGATGATGCTATGCGTCGCAGCATCTTTGGTTCATCTGATGAATCAGATGAACCATCGCCGAAGCGTAGGCGCTCGAGGTCGCGAGACTCGGGCGCTAATAGTGGTGTCGGTTCTCCAATGGACACCACTTCACAGCGAGGTGCCAGTACTTCTGTCGGCACGTCGCAGGAAGAGCGGGACCGCAATGTGTTGCGTCTCGCTCCTGAGAAGAAGGCATGGATGCCTCCTAAATCAGTCATGGATCACTTGTCGGCGACGACGAGTGATCGTTATCGAAAACGATTGTTCGATTCGTCAAGGATCCATCACCTTGACCCCAGCGCGAAAAACTATCGCGCTGAGTATGATTTCTTCATCGATGCTTTCTTTAGACATCGATGGTACAGTGGGAATCACAAACGTGATGGTCCCTCACTACTTCAGGCGTGGAACGCCTACATCCATAACCTCGAGGATGTAGGTCGTGACGCTTGGAACGACAAACTTATCAAAGCTCGTGATAAGTTTGAAAAGCGAACCCCGACAGGTGCACGCTACAAGCTGCATCGTCTGTCAAGGGAGAAAGGATTACCCTGCCTCTCTTGGGGAGACTCGTGCCCATGTTGTGTGAACAACTCTGCACGAGCACCTAAGGAGGCTTACCTCCTTACCAGCCTGTGGTGGCGCGTACGTGTCTCTACTGAGATGTACGAAGGGATTGACAACCTGAAATCCCTTTACGACCGTGCCGGAAAGACTTTCTCCGGCGGTCCTACTGCGGCACAGGATGTGCCGCGTCGTACTGCTCAACCAGACCCAGTACGTCGATCATCAGTTGGGAGCGGGGCTCCCAAGAATCCCAGGACGGGGGATAGCCGCGCCACCGGACAAGGTAACTCGTCCGACGTCCGTTCACGTCGCGGTGGTTCAACAGCTGCTCAATCAGATAGCGCTGGCCACCGCGAGAGTCCTCTAATGGAGGTGGAGGAGGAGGAAAGACGCTCTCCACACGATCATGTGGATCGATGTGTTCCCGAGAGCTTCTTTGATCGCGTAACGCAAGGGTTACGCGACGATCTCGAACATGAGCGGAATAGGCGTCTCCAAATGGCGGACACTGCCTCGAAGCATCGAGCTGAGTTTGCCTTTGCTCAGCTCGAGAACGAGAGATCTCTGACATCTCTTCGTGACGAGCTAAGGGTAGCTCGTGGGATTGTTGATCGGTCTCGGGATGAGATAGCTGCTCTTCAGACCCTTGTTGATGCCCACCATCTGGAGCACAAGGCTCTCTGCGAGATGCTTGAGCGCAAGGGCGTTCTTCATCGGAAGAAGCAGCGTACTGATGGTACGGCTTAAGCCGACCAACGTAAAACGTGGGATGCGTTCGCATCTTACGTGGTAACTCGATCGTGTATGCATTGCCTAGGCGGTGCAGTACACGAAATGGGCCGATGTACTTGGGTAGTAGTTTACTGGTACCCAAGTTAGTCACTACATGCTTTGGTAGATTAACCGTAGACAGTAGGACTAAGTCACCTTTATTAAATAAAAGAGTGTTTGCCCTTCCATTCTTGTCAGCGTTTTGCTTTTGCTTATCCACCGCTTCGGCGATGGAGTCTTGCACAAAACGGACTACCGTTTCACGAGCCAGCATGAACTCATCTGCTGACTCGTTAGCTTCAGTGTGCTGTGAGCGCACTGCAGCAACGTCAATAGTTTCTTCAGTGAGGGCTTCCGCACTCTCACTGGCATCATCTTCTTCAGTGAGGGCTTCCGCACTCTCACTGGCATCATCTTCTTCAATATCGATGTTATCGATATCGGCATCAAACGCAATGACCTCTTCGTCAGAGCGTGATGAGCGTGAACCAAATCGGTTTTTGCTCGCGCGAGTCCCTCTCCCCCTTAAACCAGAGTCACACTCTAGTAAGGTGGGTACACGCGGATGGCGCAAGCCATTCACGTAAAACGGTGTATGTGTCGTGGACGCATGCACCGAGTTGTTGATGGCAAACTCTACCATTGGCAAGAACTCACTCCAACTCTTAAAGGAGTGTACGTATCCTCGAAGTATCTCTTCAAGGACACGATTGGCACGTTCCGTCTGACCATCTGACTCTGGATGATCAGATGTTGACATCTTCAAGCGCGTTCCGAGTGATTTGAACACGGAACGCCAGAAATCAGCAGTGAATCGTGGATCTCTGTCTGATACGAGTTCACGGGGCAACCCATGAAGTCGGAAAGTGGTGTCAATAAAGACACAAGCACAGCCACTTGCCGTGATTGTCTCTGGTACAGCCACAAGGTGTACCATTTTGCTGAATCTGTCAACAAATACGAGAATACCCGTATTCCCGCGTGCGTCTTTGGGTAACCCGAAGACGAAATCCATTGAGATGGATTCCCAGCACTCAGCCGGAACCGGTAGAGGCTGTAAAGGTGCACGCAGTGAAGGACTTGACTTCACTCGTTGACAGACTTCGCATGCGCGAACATACTTTCTCACAAACTGATACTGGCGGGGCCAGTGAAAGTCTCGACTTACCGTGAGATATGTTTTCTCCCGGCCACGATGTCCTCCTATAGGAGCATCGTGATACTCGAACATGATCCGCAAACGCAGATCAGTATCATCTGGAATGACAACACGTGGTGTGTCACCACAAACGGCTGTATAATACAGTAAACCGTTACGATTAGTGTATCGATCTGATGCAGATCATAACGCAGACGACAATAGTTTCAACGATTCTCGAGATGGTTGGGAGAGATGTGTCAACAACTTCTCAATCTCACCATCTTGGGCGTATGCCCGCCTCACATCATCATACAACGTTGTAGATGGGACTGAGGACGTCATAACCGCAACAGTGACTGTCTCACTGTTGAGTTTCACGACTGGTTCAAAGTCGGGTCGACGTGAGAGTGCATCAGCGACGACATTAAGTCGTCCTGGTGTGTACTCTACCGTAAAGTTGTATTCTGCAAAGAATGACAACCACCGCGCCATTCGTTGTGAAAGGTGCGGGCTGTTCACTGCCGTGCGTAATGACGCATGGTCAGTGTAAACAATGAAGGGTCTATCTCCTAATAGATAGACTCTGAACTTCGCGAGTGCATACTTCATGGCAAGGAGTTCCTTTTCATGCACTGGATAGTTCCGCTCAGCTGGTTGCAGCTGACGCGACTGATAGCAGACGACGCGTTCAACGCTTTCAAGATCGTACTGCATTAATGCATAGCCGATTGCGAAATCGCTGGCATCACAGACCACATGAAATGGCCTGTCCTGATCGGCTATTGCTAGGACTGGGGATTGTATCAAGCTCTGCTTGATACCATCAAAGGAGCGTTGACATTCAGCATTACATAACCACCTCTCGTTCTTTTTCAACAAACGAGAGAGGTGCACAGTCATCTCGGCGTAATTGCGTGAATACTTATGCAAATACGCCGCTAGCCCGAGGAATTTTCGAAGACCTTTGACATCGACCGGCACAGTCCAGTCGGTGATCGCCTTGATCTTTTCGGTATCAGGGCGTACACCGTTCTTACCAACGATGCACCCAAGAAGTGGTATTTCGCTTGCTGCAAATATACACTTCTTGAGGTTTGCATACAATTGATGCTTTCGCATGATTGTAAGAACTTGTCGGACGTGGTACCTGTGAACCTCAACGTCCGACTTTCCATCCATAGCTCGACTATGGATGAATACGTCATCGAAATAACTCGGCGCGAATTCTCGTACTGGTCTCAACAGATGTGATACACATCTGTTGAACGTGACAGGGGCATTACTGAGCCCTTGTGGCATTACTAGCCATTCCCAGAGCATGCCGCTAGGCGTTCTCAATGCGGTATAGGGTATATCCCGTTCTCGCATAATGATTTGATAGAAGCCATCCATCAAATCCATGGACGAAAAGATGGTACTCTTTGACATACCATCAATGATTACGTCCTTCCTCGGTATCGGCGTCTGAGCCGGTACCATTGCAGCATTCAACTTGTTAAATGCATGCACTATCCGCCACCCTCCTGTTGCTTTTCGCACACAGAAGGTCGGAGAGCTATGTGGGGAAGTTGATTCACTCACATGGCCCGCTGCTAAACGATCGGCAAAGAACTTGTCGATCGCAAGTACTTGTTCACGAGGCAGTGGCCACTGCTTCATGACACAGTACTTCGAGCCTAGTTTAAGCTCGACCTCGTGTCGAATACCTTTATCCTTCGGTAATTCGCACGGAACAGTTTCAGGGAATACATCCTTGAATTCAACCAAATCTTCATAGAGAGGATTTTTCTTGAGCGATTCCCACGATTGGGAGTCATATCGCTCAATTCGTGTCTTTTCATCTAGGACACTCTCGTCCATAGATGAACTACTGATAACTCTCTCGTTCTCAGTAAACACTGTTGCTGACCTTATGTCGGTTACACACTCGTCGTCAGCGACGAGTATGCAGATCTGCTTGACTTTGCCACTACGCAGATCACGCAAGAACCTTTTGCGTTCGAGCGTTGGCAACTGAGTGATCTCCGAAGTCAACTTCGGAGGCGCAATCAGATCAAGTGTATAAGCGCCTACACTTGATCCGTTATTGACTATGACATTCAATGTCTCTGTCATTTCCTGGGGACTTATTCCCTCAGGCTTCGAAGGACTTATTCCTTCGGCTTCCCGGGGACTTATTCCCACGGGTTTCGGGGAACTTATTTCCGCCGTATTTGTAATCTTGGGACTTATTCCCTTTACTTCCTCTAGCTGGGGTTGCGCAACCACAGCGAGATCCTCTACGAAAGACTCTCCAGTCGATCTAGGATTATCGTTTCGCTTAACCTGAGCGATCGATTGTTTCTCTTCTAGATGTTCCCCGCTAGGGATTCATCTTTTTCCCGGTCTACTCGACTTATTCAAGTGGTGGACCTTCGGCGCAGCCTGTGTTTCCTCACAGCCGCCGGAACTTTGCTCCGAAGTGTAACCGTTTGGTACACTAAGGTTTTGTGCAGTCGTACTAACGACCGTACCACAAGTGAGGCCATCGCACTCACTCGTAGTACATCCACACGCTTGTGGACGCTCCAAAACGTTCATCAGATGGCCATCTGATGAACAAGCGGCAGGCATCGTTACTGTCCGATGTTGCCAGTTTACCCGTGGTTCGTACCTTCTGAGCCACGGTATTCCAAGGATGACATCAAATTTGTCATCCAAATCCAATACGATAAAGTCATCGTCATATTGGGTATCTTCTAGCGTATAGTGGATCTTCACTATACGCTTCATGACGGTTACGGATGCGCCTGCCGCAAGACGTACCGTCATCTCGTAGAAGGTGTGTCACATTCACTGAACTTAAAATGACCATCTTCTAGTGATTGGCGTCGCACAAAATTGTTGGACGCCCCACAATCGACTAGAGCTCGAAGGGACAACTCATTTGTCACTTCGAGTTTCAAGATAATGAGTGAGACCTCATTACCTAGAGCAGCAACGCACAACGTTTGTGTGTTGGGAGCAACCTTCATCAAGAGGCCTACAAATTCTCTTGACGTTGCTAGACCAGTAGGGTGCTCCGCACCTACTGATCCTGTCCGTTTTTTGACGGTCCATCCCGTTGTTGCGTCTTTGCACCAACTGCGGACCCTCGTCCCTGCCCCTTTCTCATGGGTGGACGTTCACTACGCCCAGTGTCGCGAGACACTGGACGAGGGGCACTACACTCGTAAGCGTAGTGTCCTGTCTTTTGACATCTGTTGCATCTCTGCAACTTCTTGTAGCCTGTAGAGCGAGCCTTCTCGCTCTCTACATAACAGAGTTCCATCGGCTCTGGACCTCCGCTGTCATATCGTCTCGGTTGACGATATGATGTCGAGCTGGCGCGAGCCTGTCTCAGACTTAAGTCTTCCTGTTCCGCAATGGAAATGGCTTGTTCCAGTGAATCTAGTTCAAGCCGGAACAGGTGAGTCTTGACGGGACCATCCGCAAGACCCTGCATGAACACCGAAACCAACGTGTGTTCATCCACCGGATTGGAACTTATACAACTCGTAAGATGTCGTATATGTTGGGCGTAAGCGTGCACATCACGCTTACCCAGATTGAGCTTCAAGAGTTCGGTTCGAGCTCTGAACTCAGCTACAGGTGGTTCAAACGTTTGTCTGAGCCGCGACTTGAAGACTTCCAACGACCCAAACGCATATGGGTCGTGCAACTTGAGCCCCAGTGCCCAAGTCTTGGCACGTCCTGCCAGATTTGACTGGGCAAATCCAACTTGCATATCCCCGTCGTCGATGCGACGCGCCCTTATGGCGTCATCCAATTCGACGAACCATCTCAAGAGGGAGTCTTCTTCGACTCCCCTATACTTGGAGATGTCAATCTTCAAAGTCTCGGGTCGACGCGAGTGCATCGACCCGCCAGCAGCAGCCTGCTGCTGTCTCAACAGTTCAAACTGTTGAGCACCTTGTTCTCTCAACAACTCTGCTTGTTGAGAACCTTGTTGGTGAAGCAAGGCTACTTTCTCGCGTTCAGCGTCAAGTTCATTTTGAATGAACTTGGCGATAGTAGCATGTTGGGCATCTCTATTGAGAGCCTCTAGCATGACGCTAACAGCATGGATGCCCATGGTCGAACCCATTCGTTCAACCGCATCCCATTCGACATCGCTCAAATGGGAGTAGCCGTCACGCGTAGCGTGAAAGCTTTGGTCATCTTCATCATCCAACATATTCATGTTGGATGTGAACGCGGTCCTTGGACGGACTACGAAGTGCTACCAGGTGTAACGGGGCACCCTGAAGCTTGTACTGGTGACAGTACAAGCTACTTATTCTGATGACAGAATAAGGCGGTGCCTCGTAACTTCACGTACACTGGTACGTGCAGAGGAAGACGGTAAGAAGAAGCGAGTACTTGGTTAGAGTAAAAAGAAGAACTGTATTTAGTATGGTTAATGTCTGCAATAAATCACTATTTATCCTCATCTAACTATATCTGAATACAAATGTGCATAGCAACTGTCTGCTCACCACTCATTGCGTGCGTCTGTCGTGGCGCGTCTTCGTTGGTTGATACAATGGCTTATATCAACCAATTAAGAACTGCTCGTAAGTGCTACAGAATATTTGTCCTTATGACAATATTCTGAGAACATAACTCTTCTAGTTATATCCTATTAACAATTTCTTATAAATTGTTATGTAACGATTCACCCCGTTACAGGACATGAACATCCATTTTATTGAGTTCAAGCATATACACGATTTGTACTCTTGCCGAAACCAACAACTACAGACGATGGTTACGGTCAAGACGTTTACAGGTTGCCTGATATGTCTGTCTTTAGCTTAACCCTTTTGCTACAAGCATAGAATGAGCTATTTAGTCGCAATTTTTACTTAGGCCGGTCATACGAGTTCCACAAGCCAGCTACTTTGTCGTCAGTACGATTGCTATCAAAGCCATTTCTTTACTCAATGCACAACTCACGGACTTCGAGTGTAGTTCGGTCGTGGTCACTGCCGACTCGATCTACATCGACCTCCGCGTTTTAGCACACATCTTTCGCGCGTACAAGTCGTCTCAGCATTGGTGGTTCGTTAGTTTGTGCTGCACCGCCGCCAACAACTAGCTGCTTGCCTCGTTTTGACGACAACGTTTAGTAGTTCATTTTAGTATTTTGTCATGTCTAGTCTGCATTAGAGTCCTTAGTAGGGTGCAGCGGCAGCGGCAGCCATGACATTGTCACAGTCGCATTGTATTGTATTTGAGGCGTCCTGGAATCTTGCTGCTTTTAAGTCTGCAAACCTCCAAGCTCTGCGCGGCATTCGTGTGTTTAAAGGCGCAGCATAGCTGCAGTTTCGCAACATATTGGAGTTTCTAGACTTGCCGTCAGGGGTTATCCATTGAAGTCAACCAAACTATAAATGATCAGCTGACTTGCGCTGTTCAGACTGGACATTGGCCAGATGCATCTTGGACAGAGCTTCATGTCGCCTCAGTGCCTTATCGGTTGCGAATTTCCGCCGGCATAGCGCACAACATATTAAAGTTGCTGCGACGTTTCGAGCAGTTTCAGCCATCGAATTTACGTCGGTCTTGAGTGTCGATCCTGAGGTTGTCGTCAATCGTATCCGTTTCGAAGTTGGGTTGCTCCAGCTCGCCCACTTCGTCGCCTTCGCATCCAAATTGGAGTCTAGAATATCCTGTTGCTCCTCTACCGATGTAATCGAGCTAGCTGGATCATCAGGCTGCTTTGACACCGAGCCATACTCCCTATCGAACCCCTTGGCCTGAAACTGTTGTCGTGCCAATTCTTCCTCTTCACGCTGGAACTCCCGCCAGATCTCCTCGGGTGTCCGTTTTCTACGTGGAATTGCGTCGCCAACATCTTTCTTTGGTTGGGGCTTCTTCTTTTTCTTCCACTTCGTTCTATTCGTCTGTGCGGTTGCCGTCGACCCACTACGTAGTGGACGGCCTTGTAGCTGTTGCAAATAGTGGCGTTGTCGGGTTTCATCCACTAGACACTCATAAGCCTCACCCAGTCGCTTGAATGCAGCCTCGGCGTCTACATGTAAGTAGGTGATTAGTTCTCTGTTGCAATAGTTGTGGTTTACACAATCCGTCTCAGTTCCTACCAGTGGCACGGTTTTTGTCCGGATGCACAAGAATTGCCAGCTCCTTGTAGCGTCTTCGCACTTGCTGGGAGTCGACAAATACTGGCACGCGGTTGAGTTGGTCCAGATTGAGCACGCTATAGTGCGTTCTGCAGCTCAAGATGCGCGACGTCTCCGCCATCGGGGCTTGAAAAAGTAATAGCGCGAGACACGATGTACATACACTAAGAGGACGGATCAGGACCGAATCAAATTTGGTTTTGGCTATCCGATACTAATTCAATCAATTGGTTGAAACCAATTTGTATGAACAACTATACGTTTCGTGCAAGTCGGTGGGTCTAGATGTGCGATATCAACAGTATTGCAGAAGGAGGACCAATTATTGCAACATGCGTGCACTGACCAGAATCGTGGTGTACAAGCGACTGCATCTTACACAGCAACAGGACGACTCGCAGGGTCACATTTTACAAAGCAATCCTTGAACTACCAGGCATACTTCACCTTCAGTGACAGCAATAGCAATAGCTTGCAACTCGAGCTTAGACAGATTTCGCAGCACTAAAAAGAACCGCTGAACAAGCAGGATTGCACTCGCATAGTGAACGGAAAAGTAAGGGAGGTAAATCGCAGGTACAGACTGTCACCGTTTTGGTTTGCTTTCGCCGACCCTGACGACTCTGATGCCGCTGTCGGTCGTACTTCATTTTGCAACCGCCGCTGGCACATTACATTACATCTCTATTGGAGCAGCAAGCCTCCTCCACGTTGGATTCAACAATCGCATCCACTTTGAGGTACGCACACGCATTACCAAAGGTGATCGATGGGCTGGTGCTTGGTACTCCGTTCTGTGGTATTTCTGACTTCATGATATAATGCTTACCAGGTACGCCTGCCAGGAAAGTATGACGCTGCACATACTCTGATGTCTCTCTTGATGATAAAGGTGCTTTGTCCGACACCCGCGCGGTCAGAAGTCATTCCGCGTGAAAGGTTCTAAAGACTAATAACTCAAGTACTACTACCGGCCAGAACATGTAAACGGACCATTCAGAACCTCAAAGCTATGTTACAACGCAGCAATGGTGCTAACGAGTTTGCACTATTCTTGCGCAACGCAATATCAAGTTTCTTTTCCGGTCAAGAGGTACAAAGGGACTTGGCCGCCCACTTGTCCATCGGCCACAACCTGTAACCTGTAAGCGATACCTTTGCTTCCGCTAGAAACAGTAGGTCAATATTTCCAGCTACTACCACTTTGTTTTACTCGTTATGGGAACAACTCTATCTTTGTCAGCCTGCATATACACGCAAGGTAATCTCGTAGCCAACTGGTTCAGACGCAAACGTGTAGCTCTTGTTTCTTTCGTTCTACTGCTCACTACATACACGCAAAACGTTGTCAGTACTGTGTACAACAAGTCTTCCAAAATCCACCACTCAGACCCATTCGATCGTCTACGATAGAGCGCGGACAGCCTGGGCGTCCGTGTTGAACAACTCGTTCGGGTCGTACTCGGTCTTGATCTTCTGCAGCTTGGCATAGTTGCCGCCACCGTACAAGTACTCGGCCACCTCAGCCATCGTCCACTTCTCGTCACGGTACGTCGTAAACCCGCCTGGCTTACCACCTGAAGCCTTGTACGCGTTCACAAACTTGTAAAAGTTCTTGCGCAGCATGTCCATCGAGCTCTCCGCAAACGATACGTTAAAGGCCGACGAGCGCATGTCCCAACGAACCAAGAGCAGGTTGTCATCGTGTTTCCAGGCTGAATCACCAGGAAGAACGGTCTTGGCAAACTTGCCTCCCCAAATGTCCACAAAACCCGAGGCAGACGCGTCCGGTAGTTTAGGAGCAAAGGCGGTGTTGGAGAACAGCTCCCACGCTGTGGTGTTGGTAAGCGGGGCCTTGCTCGGAATCGTCACTGATGTGATGTAGAAATAACGGCGAGGAGTAAGCGTCTGCTTCACGAGGCCGGGGGTCGAGATCTCTTCCGAAGCCCAGAAGTCGTTCTCAGTCGTGGTCAGTTTCATCGCAGCTGGCAGACGCTTCATGAGTGAGGCAAAGACCTTCTCTCCCTCGGCACTAGTGCCGTAGAAAAAGCCCTGGAGCACGGATTCCTTCTTAATGCCAAAACGAATAGACAACAGGTCGTTGTTGTCTTTGCTCAGGGCCCACTCTTGTGTGCCAATAAGGGCGTCGACGTTTTCCTGCTGCGTAGGTTTGTAGCTCTCGTCAAAGGAGATCGTGTAGTTTACCGCAAATTTGGACGGAGGTGGAATGGTCTTGATCTTGAAATCGAGCACCACAGCTATAGAACTGGCAGCACCTTGCACTGCCCAAAACAGCGGCGCGTTGTGCTTGGCATCAGCATTCACGATAGTACCGTTAGCAAGAGCCACTCGCACGAACACGATGTTGTCCAGTACAGTACCGGCAGCACGTGAAATGGTTCCGAAACCTGCAGCTGCGACACCGGTCATACCGACATCCGGGCAACGACCGTGGGGGAGCGTACGATTACACTTGGTCCACATGTAGTTGGTAGCCTCCGAGATCATGACGGGACCACCGTACGATAGGAGCTGGGTCGAGGCATCGTACGCCAGGTGCTTGAAGTACTTCAGATTCATGATTAGAGCACCGTCATTGCGACCGAAGCCCATACTGGAAAACGACCGGTTGCCACCGAGAGTCGTCACCTTGACACCGTTGGCAGCAGCGCACTTCAGAGCAGCGGAAACCTCTTCTTCCGTCTTAGGGAAGGCGACAGCCGAAGGCTTGGGGCTCACACGCGAGTTCCACGCTTCCGTGTCCACCGTCCATGTTGAAGTGGTGGGTACCGAGTTCTCGATGCCAGCTTTCTTGAGGCAAGCACCAATGCCGGCTGCGGATGATTGAGGAATTGTAATGCCTCTCTTGACATTACCCGCAGCCGCAATGTTACTCTGGGCGGCAATGAAGGAACAGAGAGCGAAGATTAAGCGACGGGCGTCGGACATTGTAGCAACCACAGTTTGCTTTACTTGCTTTGCCCTCGAGGTTGTTGGACGTTTGAGCACTTGCAGGCAAATGGAAAAGTGAACAACGCTGGCTGAGGTCCTAACACTGTCCGTCACGGTTGTGCTGTCGTCTTCCGAATTTTTGGCCGGACGGGTTCTGCTGTGTCCATGAGCTCCTGGTGGGCTATAAACACTATTGCGACTGAAGGTCGTAGCATCATGGGCATTGTCGGCGGTCAGATCGAACGACTAGCGTTTTCAAAGAAAGGTTTCGGGATAGTGGAATCCCTGTCGTTCTCACACGAAAAGGTGGCGCGACGAGCGTAGGATTTGATTTCAGGCGCAGTAATTACCAGTTGACGACGTCTTTTGACGCCAGCATGCCATAAGTTCCCAATATCTCCTCTATTCCCATCGCAGAAGGTTTTCTCAAATGCTTGGCCAGAAGGCTGTTTGCTGCAGCATAGCGTCACATCGCTTCCCCAATAACACCAGTGGCTACAACCAACTGGATGGCGACGATTCTTCACTTCAGACTCAATTAGAGTCTGTACGTAGGTTGTATCATTGCTGGTTACTGCAATTACGCCACGAGAAAACGACTGCGTTCGATCCGGATTTATTTGAAAGGGTCCCTTCGTCATCAAGACTGACAATGTCGCTGCTATAGGTTTCCATTGTGGGCAAGCGCAATGTGATCGAGGCAAGAAAGTAAATCAAAGCTCCGCTTCCGGTTGTTTCTACGGCGGAAATCCGTCGTTCCGACGAGGGCTTGCGCTCGTGTGCTGTTGCTGAATGTACTATCGATTTGACGTGTGCTATATCGACGTCACACACAGTCGGTTTCGTTCAACGTTGGTTGTTCGTCATGTTGAATCATTACCTCGTGCTAACGCGTCATCGTAGTTGTTGTCAGATTGACGCACACTGTCCATGTATCGCTTAGAGCTGGAGAGGCGTGCCACACTTGCGACGAGGTTTATGGCTCTCCAAGCATCCATATGATGACATCAAATCACAACTTTTACCGGCTGGACTTCTGGTAAAATCAATGAGAGCATCTGACCTAAATTCAAATGTAGTATTATCGGGTTCGACGTGTAGCTTTGGAACTATAAGGCATGCAGCCGAGTATTGAGAAAAATCCTCGATGTAAGTAGGGAATGACCCATGCTTCTTCTTGCGTGTGCTTGAGCCGAAGCTTCAACCGTAGAGGTTCTTGATACTGTATTAGATTAGCTGGATGCTCAAATAACGCGCTCAGCAATGAGAGCGTCATCTCTCGTCAGCTCAGAAACGTGCGCACTCCTAGCATCCTGCTGAGGGAAAACAAGTTCGGCGAATAGTGCGCACGCAGTTAAACTAACACAACACGAAGGAGAGACAGTGATGTGAGTTACTGCTTATCCGGCCTTGCATACCGGCAGCTCTGACACGCGAGATTCCTGGATTGAGCTCTGGCGTAAGTATGGAGAGTCCTGGCCGGATTCGGCTACCGCAAAATTCCCTCTCGTACACTGCAGCGTAGAAGACTAGATGACAACGGCGAAGCGCAAGCCGGAGAAGCATTTTACATGCTGCAGACCTTACCCCGAGGAATTGCTTAGCTCTGTAAACGGGCCGGTCTTGGCAACATGGACAGCATCGTGGTGAACGGGGTACTTACAAGCCGGCTCGCTTCATATCGCATCAGGACTTCGGAAAAATTAACACGAATCTGGTTAGATGACTGGAAGTCTAAGATCTCGAGGCCAGCCTCTTACAATTTACTAGCAGTAATCGACAGCAGGGACGACTGGGTGCGAGTTAGAACCGATACTTACGGGGACGTTTCTATCTTGAAACTATGTGATGTGGGCAATAAACTACGATTTGCGCATCACATGATGTGGAAGTCTTTACGAAAAGGAGATCCGAGTGCTCATTAGTCAAGAAAAACACAACGGCAATAAGGCGCTTTCACGTCTCATCAGGCACCTGGACACACTCAAACTGTTCGCCAGATGAAGAGAGGCATTCGGCATTTCTGCTATCTACATGAGATGGATGACTATCGCGAGCTTCTTTTCAAAGGCTATTGAGCACGGAAGGGTAGAGTATCAACTTGATTACCAAGGGCAGCTCAAAGTTTCAAACCTCAGCCACTGACTAATTAGAAAACGGGGGTCTAGCAGATGCCTATGGGTGTCACATTTACATGCAGAAGGCGCATCTCTCAACGACAGGACGAGCAAGCAAGAAGGTAGATAGCAGGCTCAAGCGCGTCAAAACTCGGACTATGCATCGCTTTAAAGCCAAAACAAGGTCACAATGGCTCGAAGCATGGAGGCGGACACCCACAATTGAAGGACCGGTGGCCTGGATATCTCAAGAAACGCATGTTAGTTCCCGTGGAGAAGCTGCTGAACTAAAGGTGATGTGGGCCCGATTGTGTGGGCAATTCCATCATCACTTGGGCTCAACACTGTTTTTTTGGAGTGTGGATGCAAAAAGGACGAGGAAAGTGGCTACATGCTTAACCAAACAGTGGCTAAATTGATAAACCCATGGCAATTGGAGCACTGGACAAATCGCGTCATTGCTATGGACCTTAGCGCCTAACGATCGGTAAATATCTACGCACTAAACGCCCACGCGGCCCAAGAGAGATCCTTCACGTGCTTGCAGCAATGACCATGGTCGCAGCTTGAAATTGTCATTGCTGGAATTTATAATTGTGTGCAAAGCCTGGCTCTCGACAGACCCGGAGGGATAAGGTCGGGGCGACCATAGAGCGCTGCGTTACAAACCCTATTTATTAATTGAGGACATGTAAACTCTGAGGTCTAGTAAAGAGGATGAAGACAGGAAACTCGACTCGACCCATCCTTTCTGGTACTGGGGAAGGAACTTGGCCAGTCGTGTCGACTTATATTACGTCCCACAATCCTGGTCGATCGTTATACAACGAGTTTTGGTCAAGGAAATGTATGTCAAGTCAGATTATTATGTGTTCGGTTACTAAAGCAGACACTGGTCACTAGTTGTGCTTCAGTACTAGTGCACCTAAACTAAAACATTGTAGGGTAGTGTCGCGCGTCACGCCACGTACTATACGTGCAGAGGAAGGCTAGCTAGTGAACGACGTGTTTAATGGGAGTAGGAAGTAAAACTGCATAAAACATAATCAAGTCCTGATTACATGTACTTACGTCTTAGTCCTGACTTAGTTATGCTTATCTACAAAAGTGTACGCTAAAGTCTTGCTCGTCACCCATTGCGCGCTACATCGTTGATTGGACCGCTAGAACTGGCTGATATAATGGTCCATATCAGCCAATCGGTGAGTGTTTCTGAGAACTTCCCCTAATTTTATATTCACGAACATTATCAAACTTTATGGTGATATTCTGATTAACAAGTATCAAGGTTAATTACTTGTAACAGGTTCACCCCGTTACATCACTCCAACTTAAACGATAGCCACTCAATTAGTATCACGTTGATGTTTTCACTGTTAGACCACATCTGGAACAAAAAGTACTCGTCTTAGTTTGATCCACTCGTTGTTGGATCTTCAACGCATGGTGACACAACTCATTGCGATGTGCGGCGGAAGCTGCTGAGAAGGCAGCCGCGCGTGTTAGCGCAGATGCTCTTGACGATGCTTTGTCTCTTGGGCAGAAGATGATTCGTCCGCTGCCGCTTTTATTATTCCTACATCACCAGTTGCTGCAGAGGCACGTGGTGTGTCATCACGTGCCAATGACGAGGATGATTCTCAAGTGCAACTCGTCAATGCGGGGGAGTCGGACAGGTCCGACTCGATGAAGACGACTAGATCACCCGAGTCTCAAATGACTACCGAATACGAGCCTACGAATAGAATTTGAGCCATTAGTCAGGCTCACGGTCACTACAAGAGCCTGTTTATTTAGGAGGATGAGTATTTTGACTCATCCCCTGCGCCTGCTACTACGCATTCGCTTCCTGGTGAATGCGGTGATGTGTTGCAACATAGAGATGAAGATTGCAGTGGTACCTAGACTTGCGTTGCTTCCACGCAGGAGGCTCTAGACGGCAATGTGTTGCGTCTGGCCCGTAGGCACAAGTTTCGGGTTTTACCAGAAAGGCGTGTGAACGACTTGTCAGGCGAGACAATTCAACATCATCCAACTCATTATCTATTGCAAGGCTGTTGCACGGTCTCGACATCAGGGCGAGCGACTTCCGCGCTAAAGAGAAATTTTCTATCAATGCTTTTCTCAAACATCGTTGGTACAGTGGTGAAAAACAAGCGAGACAAAAGCTCGATGCTGCAGGTGTAAAACGCTTTTATACTTTATGTGCAGTACATTATGGTGATGCCTGGCTTCGAACAACTTGGAACATCTCGTGTCAGGTTTGAGAAACGAACCTTAACAGGTGCACAAGTCAGGTTGCAAAATCTGTCTCGTGAGGCAGAAATCCCATGCCTCACATGGGGCGACTCATTTCCGTGTCGTTTTAACCACACGCAACGCAGCTAAAGGGACGTGAACACCCTTTCTTCGCCGTGAGGTAAGGCGCACATTTCTTCTGAGATGCGCGATGCGATTTCTAACCTTCAATCGCTATACCAGCGCGATATGCGCGTGCTCTTCGATGTTCCTTCTAATTTATCGGATGGTTGTAGTCGTACTAGTGGACAATACCCTCAACATCAATCTTCAGCTGGTCGCGAGGCCCCCAGTTGTCGTGCAACGGTGGATAGCCGCGCCAGTGAACAAGACAACTCGTTAGCTGTCCCTTCGCTCCACGGTGGTTCAAAATACGCTCCAAATGAAAGAGTTGACTACCGAGTGAGTCTATTAACGGCTGTGATGGAGGAGGGAAGATCAAATTCCAATTTACGTGCTGGAGTTGCAGACGGAGTTCGATCGTGTTAAGCGACGTTTACGCGATCTGTGCAATCGCACTGACCAAGAGAAACAGGAGAGTCTCTCTTTAGATTCGTGGGTGCAACGTTTCCGCCTACGCCT